TTTTTTTTTCATTTTTGGCATATCTATATTACGCTAGATTTTTATTTCTTCAATGCGATTTAAGCAACTTTTTATAACATTATTTATAGTGATACGTTCATTCAACGATATAAATAAGACTAATGATGATGATAATTAAATAAACGCGTTTCGCTAACACTGTGGATTCCTCAGCAGAAATGAACGAATGAAACATTTTATAAAAATTATGTATCACATATTTTTATTACTGCACAAAAATTTAATTATACTTCTGCCAAAATGTCTACGAGTCTAGTGCTTCAAAACAATGCTCAAGCTATCCTTTTCAATGACACGAATAAATAGCATATCGTACATCCGAGGGACGCACCGCGCGCAGCTGCGTCCACTTTTATTACACGGAACTGTTCCCTTGAATTTCGCTTTTCAAAGTTTGCCAGCCATCATTCAGGCCAATTTTTTTGCATACAACCTATCATCGAGTTCGTAATGAAACTGCGCTTATATTAATTTATTTATTGAATACGTGGGTGTAAAGTACCTACCTGTTAATACCTATAAACCCAATAGTTACGTCAAAAAAACAGCCAATCCAACGTTTAAACATTATTTAGGCTTTCGATTCGAAGGGAATTTATTTATTGAAAAAATGATGGTCTGGAATCATAGTCATAGTCTGGCTATTAATCATAGACTGTCCAGGATATTTCCGGCCCACATTTTTAATATTCGTAACATGAAAATATTCAGGAATATTACATTCAGTGAATGAATATCTCGAATTAGATTTTTTATTTTGAATATTGGTAGTGTTCCTAGTAGAATATTTCAGTGTGTATTGTTTTTGGAATATATTTGTTTATGAATATTACGTGTCTTATTACTTGTGTGGATCTAGCATCAAAATGCAATTGATTTAAGACATCCTATATATATNCAATTGGCCTTTCGAATGAATAAAAAATGTTGATGATATCTGTCACACAATTTGTTTTTTTTTTTATTTAAAGATAGGAAGCACTTAATGAAAAGCCCTATATTAACTTTCTACTCGTAATATCTGAGGATAGATCATTTATTGTATGATCAAAAAATTTGCATTACAATTTATGTATAAATTTATTTATGCACTGAGAAAGGGTGATCAGAATGTTACTGTTATCACAAAATCGTTCATTAACGTTTTCAGAATATTCGACAAACATTCTGAGAAAGACCTGAGAATGTAATTTCAGTTCATTTCATATGTTCAAGGGACGTAACAAGAATATTGAAACCTTGTCGGTAAATTCAGAGAATATTAATGTTCTAACGAGAACTTTTGTGAATGTTTTTGGATTATTGTGCTATCTAGGCTACCATTGTTTTCCGTAAAATGTTGACCTTTGCTAATGAATAAGATCCTTAGTAGGTACTTATAAAATTTCTCAAATAAGAAATAAACTGGAATAAACCTATATCTAGGTAGTGAAGGAATCAAGAATTGGTTACAGGTCAAAATACCTATATTTTGAGGGATTGCGGAAGCAACTTCTGAACCTATTACAAATATTTTTGATATATTTATTCGGATAGACATGTTTACAATAAGTCAGGAATCTATAAACTGATAGGTAAAAAAGTATGCAATGTAAACGAAAGCATATAATCTAATTATATGATGATAAGTCCACTCACCTGATATGTTTGAAGCCAATATTTTTAGAGTTAACCCTTTTCCAAGCGCCGTGCAGGTAATCCCGACAAATTCTGGCAGTCAATTCCCTCATTTCGACGCAATCTCCGGTAGCCTGCTTTAAAAATAAATACGACCATTTCTTGAAAGGCTTCATTAATCAGAAAATGTTTTTGGCGTACAAGAATTATTTCAGAAATTCGCAAGTGTCACTATTACATTCGCGTTTAGATACTTTGTTAAACTAGATCATAGGAATTTGCAGAAATCAATAAATCAGCGCAGTCGCGATCTTCCAAAACTCATCTAGTCACCTTGTGAAAATTTACCTTTTTTGGTAGTACTGTTTCCAACATATTTCAAATAGGTAGTTCACACAAACTAAATCCGTTCAAAAAATTTTTAATTGACGCAACTGTGAATATATAAACGAGTTACTGAAAAGATACCTATTACACTATAGTGTTCAAAATAATTCAAGAACTCAATATTCAAATGGACGATAAAATAAGTATGGTATATGCGAAAATTTGTGTCGAATGAAATTATTTTCCTTTACAAGTGTATTCTACTAGCTCTGAAACTAAACTGTGAACAGTACTCCTGCCGAGTTTCTTTTATGTTTACAGTTGTCACGTCACATAACAATTTGATCAGACGATGCAGTGTTGCCACCTCCAACTATTAGTCTGAAAATTATGACTCATACTTTACAAAATATTTGTTAGATCAGGTTATACTCAGAACTTATGTTTTTTAATGTCGGTTTTGTTGACGGTTGAAATGCCGACAATATATGTATCTTGATAAATCATAGAATATTGCAATTAGAATAGACAAACAATGAGTTTCTGTATGAAAAATGAGAAATAAAACTTTCTATGGTTCTTTACCACTTTTATTCATGACTAATGTTACTGCAGATTCCTCCAATAAGGACATTTTCAAACAATTTGATTATTTATTGTAATTGTTTGAAAATGTCCTTATAGGACAAAACTGTAGTAACATTAGTTCCGAATAAAAGTGGTAAAAAACATAGACATTTTTTTTTCTCATTTTTCATAATGACCTTCTACCACGTAGTAAGGGCTATTACCATTAATTTATTGAAAGTTTATGTATATTTGAAGAGGTTTAATTCCCATTAGAATGGTGAGCAAATGGTAATAAATATTTCTGATACAAGTATATATATGAAAGTAGCTGTTTCAGGAGGACTTTCTTTCAGTTTGTGTCTGAAAGTTACTTCTTTGCATGATCTACACATCCATGTATAGACTTACTTATTTTCAAATTGATTACTTCCTTCCTTTCTTTGGAAGATTCTCTCATCCATTTTTTTGTATCAGATGGAGTAGTAGAAAGCCAAAAACTTTCTTTCCCAAAAAGTATATAATATATTTCATTGTCATACATTCCAATGTCTTCAGAAAAACTACTGTTGTAATATACCGGGGGTATCCGTATTCATAAGATCTATTTACTATCGAAAGTTTGGGAATTACTATTACATTTGTAATCATTTTTGATCACACGAGTCGTAGTTACATTCTGCGAAATTAATAAACATTCAACAATGCTGCTCTTTTGGATCGGACCACTAGATAACTTTCAGTACAAATATGAATTAGAACTGGAAAGTTACATAACAGACAATAATTCGAAACAATGGATCAAAAACGAACCCTTTTTGGCTAGTACTACGACTATGGTCCGTGGCAAAGCCAAGAGTTGACCGACGAATGAGAATTCGCTTCCAGTCGCTCTCTGTAGATTTCACTGCAAGCAGGGTTGATATACCGTTTGCCACACAGTTTTTTCTTGCCCAACAAATACATGGTATACTTTCTAAATGACTTATTTATTGATTCAACTCGTCAAAACGTGTCCCTTATCGATTACCTACAAAAACTGAAAATAACGTTCGTCACAACTGATTCAAAAACTTTACCAGTAAAATGACCTATTATGATTAATAATTACACATGACAAGTTTTACTAGAAATTCTTGAAAATTGCCTGCGAGAAATGAGGGTAGTATACAATATTGAAAGTAAGTGTTGAAAAATTAAAATAAAGAGGTATTCCAAATCAGAGAATCAAAGAGAAAACCATGCAGAATGGACTAAAATAAATATACAATATTTGTAATGAGTTGAAAGACTGAAACTAGTTAAAATTAAATTCAATTATAAAGCGAATTCAGTGTTTTTAATAATAAATATCAAGTCTATTCTATCACAAATTTAATTGTTAGATAATTTAATTGAAAGATAGAAAAAGAGTTACTGTTATGGAGAATCCAATCTTTGAAAGTGAAATCTTTTTAAATGTTTGCAACTTGAGCTATACATTAGGGCATATTCAATATTGTTTCATTGACTGTTATCAGGGCTATGAAAAAGAGTTACTGTTATGGAGAATCCAATCTTTGAAAGTGAAATCTTTTTAAATGTGTGCAACTTGAGCTATACATTAGGGCATATTCAATATTGTTTCATTGACTGTTATCAGGGCTATGAATTAGATTTCTTCAGTAAGTATCTGATTCCCTGATGAAATCTGATTTCATTATTCAATATAGTTTGCCTTCGAAGACGAAGGTCATACAATTTTTGGATACCATTTTTGTAGTACGATTTGTCTTTAGCCACAAAATAGGCCTGTTTCGAAGATGACGTCTTCATCGGTGCTAAGTTTATCTCCAGCGAGCATTCTCTCGAGGTCGGATATCAAGAAAAAATCGCTGGGGACCAGACCTGAAGAATACGGTGGATACGGAAGCCCAATTTATGGAATTTTTGCCACCACCAATCAACGGTGGATTTTCTCAGTGCAAAGTTCGAATAATGTTTGTCAGGCCAAGCCTTGGCTTCAAAACCATTTTTATCACCAAAAAGCAATGCTTTATTAACATACGGAATTCCTTTTTTTCCATTTTCTTCAAACTAACAGAAGGTGTTTCACTCAAAATGTTCTATTTCATAAACTGAAAATCCGACAGTTGTAAAATTTGTACACGTGACTTTTGAAGGTTGGGGTTAACTAAACATTATATGGATTTGATACTTGTACCGCCATCTGTATGTTAGCCTGGGAACTATTCAGACCACCTACTATATTTTAAATTGAGAAATGAGTTAAGTTACAGAAACAGGCACTGGTAAAAATTTGTAATGAAACAAATTATTATCACTAAATCATTTTTGTAATTAAATATTAACGGTAAAAATTGTATAAGAGTGAAAAAAACAATTTTTTTTATTGAAATCCAAGCAACGGATAGCGTTGTACTGAAATTGAATACTGAAAAAAATTGAAATCCATTTCCATAACAAGTAATGAACAATTTTCAAATCGAAAAAACAGTCTTATATTAAGTGGTATGCCAAATAAAAAATCCTAATTTCTGGATCGAAAAAGAAGTATTTCCTAATTGATAATCACTCCTCAAAGAATTATTTCCGCTCATTCACCTGGGTTGTTGATTTCTAATAATTATAAAAATCGTTCAGAAAACTGGCAACTGTGCAAAAATGGATTTGCGTATTAACAGGTGACGTGTCAAGCACACCTCCTCATAGGCGTACATAATAGTTTCCCTCAAGGAAAACTCACGATCAAGTTAACTTTTGAAACGCTTATAAATTTGTGATTACCAGTTAAATTACCGACTGACAACTATGAGAATTACCATTTTATAACTTTTATTTTGCAGGTTTTTTCTCCCAAATTCACCCAGAAATATTATTATAAAAAAATAAGAATCGTATGTTTTCAAAAACGTGTTTCGAAACTATTACAATTCAAATAAAACTTTCATTTCATTTTACCACTTTTCATTTATTACTGTTTGCGAGACAATCTCTGAACACGAACAAACCCCTTTTTACAACTAATTAATACAGTTCATGGTATGATTTTCACTATAAACTGTATTAATTAGTTTTAATATGGATTTTCATCAAGTCTCGGCCAGTTTTATTCAAATCCCCTTTTTGCCAATTTTTAATATTAGATCGTAACGTACCAATCATTTGAAATTTCTATTTTCTGTTTTCACAGGATCTGAGATTCTTCTGAGACAAGCAAAATTACAAAATCATTAAAATCACAAAAAGCATACAAGCACCCAAATATAAAAGCATAAGAACCAATAAAAGTATAAGAGCCACTAAATCACAACAATTTTTTTCGCTAAAAAGCAATCCTTTATAAACATACGAAATTCCTTTTCATCCATTTTATTCAAACTAACAAAAGTTGCTTCACACAAAATGTTCTATTTCATAAACTAATAATGCAACAGCTGTGAAATTTGTGCACGTAATTTTGAAGGTTGAGGTTACCTAAAAATATTTGGAAATAATACTAGTACCGCCATCTGTGTGTTAGGTCAGGAACTATTCAGCTCATCTCTAATATATTCTGCCTAATTCTATTTCAACATATATCTTCAACAGTAGTATTTTGTATCATTTCAATTACATCCAGAAAATATTCAAACCATATCTGTAGTTTTCAGTGTTTTATTCGTTTTTCAATTGCATTTCTCAACAGTATAATAAAACACTTTAACTTTTGTCTGTATTTTTCAACTTTTTGTTATCTAAATTAAAGTCAGAATATTGAACAATTTTCGTGTTCTTTTTATATTTTTCCTTAGATTATTATAGTGATGTAATAGTACACTAAAACAAAATTCCTCAGCCTGTTCAAGATTATTAACTTAAATACTCATTTTTGTCTTCCATTTGTAATTCCGGAAAATGCATCTCCTTCGATTTGGAGGCTTAGTTATTCTTCTACCTATTTGAATTTAATCATTTTCCACACAGCTGGTTTTTTTCTATAAGACTTTTCAACAATATAATTCATAAACTTGCATATCCTCTACTCTCTACTTTATTGAAAATATTATTAACCGATTGTCATATCAGTAATTCAAATTTGTAATTATCAAATTTTATTTTCAAACTGACAATTTATGTGGGGCTCGTTTCATGCTATGGAAAATTATACTGGTTTGCTTATAGACTGATCGAGTTAGGGGTTTATCATATTTATCAAGCCTAATCGGTCTCAAAATCTCTTTATATTTGCAGAAAAAAGAATAATTCGAAAAGCAAGAATTTAAACTGGCGGCGTGTCTGTTGACCAGTAAAATTGATCGTTCGTTGAGCGGAGGTGCCAAGTGTATTGGTTTTTAATATCCAATCACAGATCTGATGATCCAATTTGACAGACGCCATTTTTCTTGTTATTGTTGTCAACTCGGTGTGAAAACAACTATTACAATTATCTAATTGAAGAAGGTTTTTTTTGTAAAAGTTAGGTCTCGGTCGGTGCCTATTTTGCTGCATATTCCGTGTCATTAGTTTACGTTACGAAAAATATTTTTTCAGGTTATTTTTGGATTAATATGTTCTGGAGTAATTCTACATTTCACTGTACATAGTTTTGCTTCTCTTTTCAGTCACCATACTGCTCTTTGGCCGAGATAAAATAAAAATTAAATCAAAACTTTCCTTCCTTCGATAAAAGATAAAGTCTGAAATGATTTACTAAATATACCACCTATCGTTTCAATTTTTCATTCTTCATTTCGGTGCCAAAATATTGCAAATTTTCCAAGTAAAATTCATNTTAGAGGTATGAAACAAAGTGCACTGTTTTTCAATTTAAAATTTCTTTCAAGTGAACTATAAACCAAAAAATTAGAAACAAGCTCATTGTAATACTTTAACACCGGCAAAATCTATGTCAATATTCATTTGCGTGTTACTCGTGTGCAACAATCTTGATTTCAAAGGCCGAACTCTAAGCAACTCCAACACACAGATGGTTAATGTGATATTTCAAGTAATAGTGATGTTAGAAAATATCAGAACTGTATAGAATCGTATATCCAATACAAGCACTTTTCCCAAACACCAGAACTGCATCACTTTCTGGGTAGAAATTTGAGGGCAATTTTCTTGTGAAAGTTCACGCCAATTTTAATAGAGTAATTTATATGAAAGTGGACAATTGGCTGTTTGGAACGGAACCTCTGTCACTGTTCATAGTTCTTATGTCACACTTTGTTATTTCCAGTGGAATGAACTGATCTCAACTATTTCAGACAGTTTTTATTTACTCTGTGGCCATTCTTCAAGACGTATTGAGCGCCATTAGATTTTTCCGGCGTACGAAATCAGATGTGTGTTGCATGTTCTTTGCTTAGTCTGACCGATATATTTTTTGTGGCAGTCCCCACAGCTTATTTCATAAATCGCTATACAATCATAGTAGGAGACAATTCCTGTCAAGCACACAAAATTACTTTTGTAATAGCAATGAGAAAACCAATACGACATGTCATTAACTTGTCGTAAACTACACTTTTATAGATTTCCTATTAGTTTCTTATTGGGGTTGTGTCCGTACAACCAAGAGAAAACAGACTGTCGGATATAATACAATGCCCTTCGTGGTATTAGCCAGAGGAGTAGTTGTTTTCTGATAGGGGTCAGTCCATGAACCTACAGCAGGGATGGCGAACCAATGGCACGCGTGCCATTGATGGCACATAACACAATATTTTGGGCACGTCACCGATCACGAAATTCATTATGAACTAAGAAAAAACGTGTTAAATATGTATTTTGGGACGATCGATTCAAGTTTTAACTGATATTTAATATGACCAGTTCATCAAACAACAAAAAGTGCAAGACAGTAAGACTATCAGAGAATTTCAAACTTGATGGACTGAGAAATATGGCGTGATTAGTAAAGGTGACAAAGCGGTGTGTGTTTTATGTTCTGAAACAGTGGTATGAAGAACATCGTCTGTTGAACGAAATTTTGAAACAAATCACAAATCTGTTAGTCAAAAACGCGAAACACAGCAAAAAGAATTAATTGCAAGTGCATTGAAAGACAGAAATAAACAGTCAACATCTATGATTAAATTTGTTTGCAAAAATTGTCATATGAGCGCGGCAAGTTACGCGGCTGCAAATGTCATTGCCCGGCTTAGTAAACTTTTTCAAGAGGGAGTTTTTGAAGAAAGCCTGGTTAGCATGCGCGCCCTCTCTTTTTGATGATTTTGACAATAAAGATAAGATAATTCAGCAAATCAAAGATACTCCTCTATCAAGAAACACAATAAAAGAAAAAATCTTAAAACTGGCCGAAAATATAACAGATCAACAAAAAATTGACATTGACTTTGCTTCTTTTATATCGCTATGTCTTGACGAAAACACTGACTTCACTAAATCTGTACGTTTAGCTGTTTTTGCTCGATATTGAGTAGGAAAAGTGATTAAGGAAGAACTAATTGCGATAAAATCGTTGCTAATAACTACAAAGGAAACATATATTTGTACGGCAGTTTAAAATTCGCTTGCTAAAAAAAAATGGATTCAAAGAAAATTGTTTCTGTAACAACTGATGGTGTTCCAAGTATGGTGGGTGAAAATAATGGTTTCACAAGTTTATTTCAAACAGACGTAGGATATTCGATTCTTGAATTCCACTGCACAATTCACCAACAAGCTTTGTGTGTTAAGAGTGATTTAATATCACTTGATAATGTAATGGGGGTTGTTACAAAAATAGTCAACCTCATCTTGTCACAAGCTTTAAACAAGTGAAAGTTCGATGCTTTGTTGGAAGAAGTTAACTCGGAGTATAATGGCTTACTGATGTATAATAATGTTCGCTGGATGAGTCGCGGGAACGTACTTGAAAGATTTGTTAATTGCTTGGAAAAAATCGGACTGTTCATCAGGCGATTGTAGATACTAACAATCGAAACGTCGTGAATTAACTTGGCTTGAAATCTCTCAACTATTTTATTTTCAACAAATATTCAGAAAGTCGAAATTATTTGATGGCACGTCTATGACCTAATTAAACATTCTTTAGAAAAATTGGCACGTTGATGCATAAAGGTTCATCTATCCTGACCTACAGTGTAGGGAGTTGAGACTGGCCTGAACAAATTGTTCCTTTAGATGATTTGAATAATTATTTGATATATCCCTGCAACAATATTTTAGTAATATACAGACTGTTTTACTCTAGCAATTTGGTTCAAATTGGCAGAAATCAAATTACTGTTAGGTTGTGTCGATCATAAATCCAAATGGGTTTTTAGAGAAAATACAAACCATCATCCAGGTCCCCCTAGATTTTTCGAATAAAAAGTTCAGATTCAATGGGACAACTTCTTTTGACATTTGTGAATTCGAGAAAACATCAACCTATATAAATAAAAGATTTTTTATTCAATTATAACTATAATAATTTATGAATACGAGCACTAGTATAATAAAACAAAAAATATACATAGAAACAAAAATAAAAACAGTTTTAGCAGTCTAAAAATCAATAACAGTACAGTTTTTGTAGCTATCCATCTGTAATAATATCGATATTTTACAGAGTATTTTTAAATTTTTGAATATTACTCCTGTAGAACTACCTGACTAGAATCTCATCAAGTACCGGTTCATAAAAAATAACAGTACTTGTGACTAGAATTTTTTCTCTTATTCTCAGCAAAGTTTATAGCAAAATATTTAAACAAAATCAACAAGAATAACACAAAAAGTGCTTTACACCAAAAAGCGCGAGACGACGACCATTATGTAAAATTTGATTCGAGTGCGAGGACTAAAATGCTTTCTTACTTGTTGTGTTATTTTTGTCAATTTTCTAACAAGTTTCTTATATTTCCTTTGTCAACAAGTGAATCGAAACACAACCATATAAAAAACGGATCTCTCATGGTCTACAAAATATGCTTATAACTTAAGAGAAAAATCACATTTGCAAATGTTCAGAATCTTTTAAACGAAGTTTTTTCTCCGGCAATAAAAGGCTGAAATCCTGGATTACCAATGTTTCGTGATCATACACGCATTGTGTAATCTTTGGTCTATTATGTCACCGGTCTGAATCGACGACAACGAACTTGTGACTCCGACGGCGGTTCTCCCGTAGGTGGAGGAGGGGGAGGTCCCTCGGAAGACTCCGGGGAGCTTTCAGGAGCGTCTATGAGGCAACTGGAGATACCTCTAACGCGAAGACCTGAAATTACACAAAAACCGTACAGACAACATCGGGGGATCCACATCAATGTTCTTTTCAGGAGCTCAAGTAACTTGACCACACCTGAAAGGGATTTCAGTTAGTATATTTGTTTCAAAACAATAGTATTTGCCCATTTGGAGGCCTAAATAAGATGTGCAGATGCGATGTTTATCATTCCTAAACAATAAAATCCATTTTTCTCAACAACAACAGAAAACTATTCATTTCCAGGAGTATGAAATATTGATATTCTCTGAAACTGATTACAGTTTTACTAAAGACTTTTTCTTTTCATTATTCCTGCAAATTTCGGAAGTATCAAGGTCAGACAAAATTTACATAAAAAGGTAAGAAAGACAATCGCGTTGCATCACTATCATCAAAAGGGCTCTACAAGTTTGTTTTCTAAATAAGGGGGTGTTATGATATCTCGTTTGATTGGTTTTTCAATTCTCTCAAATCAGATCTAATCCTGCAAACGAATGATACATATTATAATAAAAAAAATATTCAAAACTCACTCAAGTTTATTCCAATAAATGTTCAAAGCGTACAGAGTGGGCCAAATTGGACACTTTTGAAGGCAAACTCCTTTATTCAAAGTAGGCTGCGTCTGAGGGTCAGATTTTATGACAAACTTAATGGTGAAAACCATATATCGATATCCATCATCGTTTCTGAGTTACAGCATATTTTTCGAAAATGTGCATTTTCGAAAAGTTACTGCAACTTTTTTCCTGTCAAAAATTTCTTAATTCTATGAAAACATTTCCAAAGCACTTTTTTACGTAGAATTCAATGTTGTAAAGAACTTATTTTTTCAAATCAGATATTAATATTTATTGATGGTAAACGACCTTTTAAATGTAGCACAGAAATGTAGCACACTTGACGAAAGAACTAACGTTAGGAGGATATAAAAAAAACACAAATTCAAGCCATACAGGACCAGAAGAGTTTATCAACTCAGTGGTTTCTGGAAAGTTGTGCGTGATTTTTCGTTGAATTGTATTTGGACAGACAAAACTTATGTGGGCAATGCCGGCATTTTCAACCGCTACAATTCTTATACTTGGGCATAACAAAATACTCATTCCATTGTTTTAGCAGAGAATTCAAGGAAGATTTGGATTTAGTGTGTGGGTAGGTTTTTTCAGGTGTAGAATTATTGGCCCGTTCACTTATAATAGCACTCTCACATCTTGGAGGTATTTAGAAATTTTAAGGCAAAATACTGAACCCCTTGTTAATGACTTGCCACTAATGGAGCTCAGAAAAATATAGTATCAACAAGACGGGGCTTCGCCTCACAACACTGCAATTATCACCAACTTTTCGCCTGCAAATTTTGGTAATAATTGGATAGCCAACCAAGGACACAACCTTAGGCCGGCCAGGTCACCGGACCTAACGCCTATGGACTTTTCTCTAGGGAAGGTTGAAAGATCTTATTTTCAAATTGCCGACCAATTCTAGATACGAATTTGGAAGCAGCAGTGATGCAAAGTTTTGCTTCTCTCACTCCTAGTAAACTAATTAATTCGGCAAAAAAGTTTCAGAAAAGGTGTCGCTTGTGTGTAGGAGAAGCTGGTAGACATTTCGAACACCTTCTCTGAAGAAATATATTTCATTGTTTGTTCTTCATTATTATTATTGAAATTTCATTTATTAGTAGTAAATATGGTTTATATTATCATCAGTTTTATTGGGTCAAGCCCTAGCCTGAACGATCAATTTTCATTTGCTAGCGTCCAACCCGTGTTAGGAATCACACGTTGAAAGGTAAGACCTCGTTATTCCTTGGCTCGCACAAGTTTCACCTTCTAAAAATTGTCGTTCATAGGAGTGCGACAGCTGGTTAACGGAAAACCACATTTTGAACAGATATTTAAACAGATATGCATTTTAATTACTAATGAAGAGAGAAATGAAACTTTATGTTTTTTACCACTTTTATTTATAACTAACGTTACTGCAGTTAAACTAACAATGATTCATTACAGTAGCCATTATATACCACCCCTGTAGGTACTAATAGAGGTACTTGGCTTGATTGAGTACCTGAATTTACAGTTACAATGCGGATCTGCCAATTTAAAAACCGACGAGTAAACTAAATCGATTTTATCATTTAACAGGTTGCACCCGCAATGTTTATACTTATGAATTTCCAAGGATTCTAAATAATTGAGTTTGTAACCCTTCCTTGCATGGAGCAAAATTTTCGTATCGTTTAGATTCGGTTTGAAAACGTCGAATCTTTTTTTCCTAGTCTGAAGGACCTTTCATGTTCAGCATACCTTTTTTGGAAATTTCGGCCACATTCTCCCACATAAACACTATTACACTCCGGACACTTAAGCTTATAAACTCCTGATTTCTCCAACTTGTCCATCTTATCTTTGGCATTGAAAAGGAAATGAGATAACCTGACATGTGGTCTGAATGCCACTTCCACATTGTTTTTTCTGAAGAAACCCGCAATTATCTCTGTTCTTTTTCCAAAATATTTTAGCGTTACCCATTTCTTGATTTCTGGTTGTTTGAACTGAGGGTATATTAATCTGTGAGTTTCCGGCTTTGTTTCCTGACTAACTTCTGGATAGTATCTGCGTTGAAATCATTATTATGACCTATCTGTGTAATTATATCAATTTTCATAGCTATATTGTTAGCAGACAAAGGCAGTGAGAATGCTCTGTGCAACAGAGTCACTAAGGGGTGAGCCCCTTAGTCCACTTTTAGCAGACATATTTATGAACAACACTATAGTAAATTCCGACCTGGAAAAAAATCATATTCATTTTTGGAACAGATATGTAGACGATATTCTCGCCTGTTTCAGAGGTACTACACGACAGCTGAACCAATTTATGACATTCATGAACAATCTCAATAGCAACATTCAGTTCACACTCGAAACAGAGATAGAGAAACAGATAAACTTCTTAGATCTGACCATTACACACAATCAGAATAAATTTGAGTTCAATGTTTTCAGAAAACCTAGCTATACAGACATCACCATCCCAAGCGATTCTTTCCATCCAGACAGTCATAAATTGGCAGCCTACAATTCATTGTTGCACAGAGCATTCTCACTGCCTTTGTCGGCTAACAATCTGGCTAGGGAAATTGATATATTTACACAGATAGATCATAATAATGGTTTCAACGCAGATACTATCCAGAAGTTACTCAGGAAACAAAGCCAGAATATCACTTACAGATTAATATACCCTCAGGTCAAACAACCAGAAATCAAGAAATGGGTAACGCTAACATATTTTGGAAAAGGAACAGAGATAATTGCGGGTTTCTTCAGAAAAAACAATGTGGAAGTGGCATTCAGACAACATGCCAGGTTATCTCATTTCCTTTTCAATTCCAAAGATAAGATGGACAAGTTGGAGAAATCTGGAGTTTATAAGCTTAAGTGTCCAGAGTGTAATAGTGTTTATGTGGGAGAATGTGGCCGAAATTTCCAAAAACGGTATGCTGAACATGAAAGGTCCTTCAGACTAGGAAAAAATAATTCGACGTTTTCAAACCATTCATTGGCATGCAACCACAAGTTTCCGAATCTGAACGATACGTAAATTTTGCACCAAGCAAGGAAGGGTTACAAACTCAATTATTTAGAATCCTTGGAAATTCATAAGCATAAACATTGCGGGTGCAACCTGTTAAATTATAAAATCGATATAGTTTACTCGTCGGTTTTTAAATTGGCAGATCCGCATTGTGAACTGTAAATTCAGGTACTCAATCAAGCCAAGTACCTCTATTAGTACAATATACAGGGATGGTATATAATGGCTAATGTAATGAATCATTGTTAGTTTATTGTATAGGTTTGAAAATGTCCGTATAGGACGAAACTGCAGTAACGTTAGTTACAAATAAAAGTGGTAAAAAACATAGAAAGTTAAAAAAAGTTACAGCAACTCTTTGAACATGCACATTTTCAAAAAACATGCTGTCACTCAGAAACACTGGATATCGATATGCAGATACCATTAGGTTTGTCATAAAATTTGACCCACAGACTCAGCCATCAGTTTTTATATATCTAGTTTGAAAACAGGAGTTTCCCTTTAAAAGTGTCCAATTTGGCCCACTCTGTACACTATTCACTTCCTGACAACAATGAAGTTTGTTTACGAATTAATTACTTACATTATGTCTGCCTCTAGGGTAATTTTGTCAGGAGTACCTCTTATTCCAACCATGAGCTGTGGAATAGTCTGTGGTTGTGTAATGTATACTTTGGATTTCACAAATCCCCACAAAACAATCTACGGGCGTCATATCAGGTAATCTAACGGGTCACACCAAGAGACCACATTTGCCTATCTATAGGATTAGATAATCATCATCTAGTCACTTTTGAACCAGCCTGTCATAATAAAGAGATATCTCATCTTGCTTAAACGTACTCGAGTTTATTGTTTATCCAAATCAGTGGACAAGAAACGTGGTCCATTAGAAAAACTAACTAGGTCCCTTGATATGATGTATCTAGATGTTTTTGAGTGGATACCTGACACACAGTAGAATAATACAACCAGTAGGCTCTCTTACCACGTGGTCTGCCAGAGTTGCCAGGGACCTTCAACCGCTCTTAGGATGAGATTCTCATCCAACGCATTCAGTGCTGTAGTATCGAAGGATTTGACGGTACCACGGACATCGGATTAGTTATAATAAACGGTCGGAAATGGATATTGATGTTGTTATTATTGTTTTTAGTTTTTGTAGTTGGTTATAAGTAATTTACCACAAAATATTCTACAATAATTTTAAATTTCTCACATATAATCAGTGGACATACTTGAAGACTGGCTATAAATCAAATCATCTAAAAGAACAATTCGTTCAGGCCAGTCTCAACTCCCTACATTGTAGGTTAATGGACTGACCCCTACCTTGCACTGACGAGTGGCCAAATAGCCCGAAACCGGTCTGCAAGTGTGTTCCAATGATTGAAAATCTATTGCGGCTGTTGTATCACCAACAGCATATGCAGGAATAATTTCAGTGAAGAATCCTGCACTGACACCTGTCGGATATAATCCAACGCCCTTCGTGGTATCATCCAAGGGAGTAGTTGTTTTCTGATAGGTGTCAGTCCATTAACCTACTGTGTAGGGTGTTGAGACTGGCCTGAACGAATTGTTCNGATGATTCTGCAATCGTGTTAGGAATCACACGTTAAAAGGTAAGACCTCGTTAGTCCTTAGCTCGCACAAGTTTCTCAACTTCTGAGAGTTGTCGTTCGTATGGGGGCGACAGCTGATTAACGGAAAAAAATATTTTAAACAGATTAACCTACAGTGTAGGGAGTTGAGACTGGCCTGAACGAATTATTCTTTTAGATGATTTGACATTAAACTTCGTTTTAATATGAGCGCACGCCTATGGTAAAAGTACGAAATTGGCTCCATCCACACTTCGTTCTGAGGTTACCGAGAAAATTGTGAATTTATGAATGAAAGTAGTGGAAGTGGACTTACTGGTTGATTTTTGCTATGCCTTATACATGAAAAGTACGATACACGACTGTAGTTTATTTCAAATTGGTATATAGAAAAACAGATGCTTGCAACGAAATCACCTCGGGAACATTTTATAATGTAGAAAGGTTATTGGAATGAGCTAGAGTTAGTTTTGAACACATTTTTTCTTGAAGTTATGATATTTATCGTTTGCAGATTCTTAAGATGAATATAAAAGGGCTAATTACTTGAGAACGACTGATTCAATTTGAAAAATTAAAAGTGTTGGATAGAAATTTTAGATATTATTCATATGTTGTTTATTGATAATTTTCTTCAGTTTTTATTTTTTTGTCCATTAACTGTGGGCATTTCTCATTTCACAGTTGAGTGAATTTGAGCTTCAAATTGGGAATGCCTCTGTTCAACTTTCCGCAAACTGGAATATTCAAATGGTCGAATATTGGAGTTGATATCTTTGGTGAATTTCAAAATAAAAACAAATCTTCATGTGGAGGTTAGGTTGTTTGGTGCAGTAGCCACATTGTTCCAATTTCATTAGTATATAGGATACAAAAAATTACGATGCATATGTACAACTCGAAAAAGTTTTTACTTCATATATTGGATATTTGATTTCAGTGTTACATTCCCGTCATTTATTTCGTAACTGTTCATTGATATAGTTTTTTACCTAACACTTAAACTACATATTTTTCCTCCCATTACCTTTACAATTTTTATTATTTTCAATATATTAAATTCCTTTCCATTATTCAAAAAGTATCTTGTTATATTAAATGAAGTACCACTTTTCATTCTGAATATACTTACCACTACTTGAATGTCTTTTAAATCGGAGTTTGAGTTGGCTGGGGTCTGTAACATATTTGTCACCCTGCCTTCGTCTCCTGAGTCCAGGAGTAAGATCTCCTGACCAAGACATGCATTTCGCCAACCTTTGGCCACTCACTGCAACAGGAATCTTTGACAACCTGCTACCTTCCATTGCGGGACTTGTCTTAAAAAAATATATCATTTTTAGTTTCAATGAAGGTTCACTAACAATTTTTTTTTATAAAAGTTCAGCACTCACAGAAGATTCCCTGAGTATCTGACTGGCATTATCAACTCCACTGTCTTCGTCATCCTGTTCTTGACGTTTGTCTTTTATCATCGGATTTTCAGTAGCATCAAAATATTCTGATTGTTCGTCCATTCCGGGGCTAAGTCCGTTGGCAATAGATCTTTTTTCTCTGAAATAATAAAAAACATTATGCAGGAAAACAAAATCTGGCTCGTTAGACTTACAAAATAGTTTTATTCCATAAGTAATTTTTCATACTGGGAACATCAACATTATTCTTTTTTCATGACATATGTGAACATCTAACATAAAAATAAACCAATTAAAAATGTGGTTCGGAAATTGAGTCATTTATTCATCATTTTATGATATATCATACCAATTTATTTCCCAAAACTTTATGAAATAAAAATCTCAGCTTGAGATTCAAGGCATATAAAACGATGAAGTTACTCAAACCAAATATCCAATCTATGAAGTATTTTTTTAAATCAATTTTAAATGTAACTCCTTGCCATTTATTTCAAAGTATAGTGCTAAATATATTGCACAAATATATGCCCACAATTTAAAAAAAAAAAGTGAACACAGAATGCAATATCATTTAATAATTCGAAAAAAAGATAAATATTGTCACGCCTTTTATTTATCGTTGACCACTCAAGTCAATTCGTAAACGATTTCTCGTTGTTCCACAACTTGGCGTGAGGGTGGCTACTAGGGATTAGAGAAAGAGCATAGCTCCCAGGGTAGGCCGCCAGCTTTTAAACAGTGAAGAAAGGCGTGGGTAAGATGGAGGGTAGAGCGCCACCCGCTTTATCAACCCTGGAGCTTATATAGCATACTAAACAGAAACGGGAAATTTATTCCAAACGGTAACCGATTGAATCAAACTCAGATCCAGGTAAAATATCTATAATTCCTTTCCCTAACATCCACACCTTTCTCAGTTGGTTCCAAACTTGTTAACAAATCCCTTGATTCATCTGTCAGTTTATAAATTGTATCAACTGTTATTATAAGGACTCCCCCTACAA